GGAGAGCAAACAGCTTCGGGATGGGTGATGGACGGAGGGAACGTGGTGAGATCTCGGGCAGGGGGGCCTGGGGCAGGGGAGAGATGCCCTGCGCCAGCCAGGCTGTGGGGGAACCATCACCTGTGTGTCTGCTGGGGCTGGGAAGCAAACTGCAAAAAGCCCAGCCTGGCCCTGCATGCTGCAAACTCCAAGCCCCAGTTTTTTTGGGAGCCAGGGGTGCTGTGCGTGCCTGGGGGCTGTCACCTAGGGGCAGGGCTGGTGGCAGGGCACGGTGCCTCGCACGCACCTCTTAGCCGGGCAGGGTTTGTAGGAGATGGGTAAAATCCTCCCTGTGCGCAGAAGGGTGCAAGCAGAGGAGAAAGGGATAAGCAGGGATGAGCTCTGGGGTTTGCTGCTCCGAGGTCCCAAAGGTGACCAAGGTCTCTGCCCTTTGCGCCGTGGGGTTGCCCATGGCGAGCCCTCCCCGTGTCCCCTGTCCCAGCAGGAGGATGGCTTCTGCGCTCCCCTCCGGCTGGCTGCAGGTGGAGCGAGCTCGCCCCATCACCGTGGGGCCGATTGATGTGTGCACAGCTGCAGAAACGTCGCTGGGTGTGTAAAATAATGGGAAACACCGAGGATGAGGTAACAGGAAGGATGGCGGGGTGTGCTGTGGGGAGGACGGGGGGGAGCCTGGTGCAGGGAGGGCTTCTTCGTGCCTGGGGGAGCCACAGAAATCCTTGGAGGTGAGCGGTGTGGAGGCTCGTGGAGCTGCCTGATGAACGGAGGCGTGTTATGGGGTAGGAAAGAGGGGAAAAGAGGGAAAACCCCAAAGGGAGCAGCCTGGGGAGGATGGGAGCGATGCACAGCGGGACGTGCCCGACCCGTGATGCTAACGGGGCTGGGCCTTCATCTCTGCCACCAAGTCTAATGTGGAGTTGCAAATTGGGAAAGCCCCCGTTTTTAGGATGGGGGTGCAAAGGAAAACAACCCCGAGGAGTGGGGGAGGCAGCTGAAGGCGACAGAGCTTGTCCCAGCCCCGGCCTCAGCGGGGAGAAGCTCGGGAGGAGGAAGATGCTGGGAGCGGATCCGTTTCATCAGCCGGGATGACGGAGGCAGAGATGGAGACAAAACTCCCCAGGGGGATGAAAGCAGCGTGCAAGCGGAGAAATTAAAGAGCAACAAATCACCGGCACCCGGTGGGCTGCAGCCAGCTCGCTGGGAGGAACTCGACAATGAAGCGGCTGAACTGCCAGCAGAAAGTAAGCTCTGGTTAGAAGCAAGTGCTGCTCGGGAGCGCAGCCTCTTCTGCTCCGTCTTTAATTTCGGGAGGCACAAGGACAACTGTGGGAATTACAGCCCAGTGAGCTTTATCCCAGCACCGAGTAAATTGGCTGAGAAAATAATTAAAGCTCATGTGGAAATGCCTGTGCTTCGGCATGACGGATTAAGGACAACAAAGCGTGACTTTTACACAGGAAATTCGGTTGTTTTTTCCTTTCCTTTTTTTTTTTTTATTTTTTTCTCCCTTCCTTCAGCATTGCAATAAAGCGGTTGGGAGACGAACCGAGAGCTATTGAGGAAGCAGCTGAGGCAGGAGCCGTGGGAGGAAGGGCCGGATCCTGCCCGGTGCTGGCAGATGGGCTGCGAGGAGGACCCGGCGGCGAGGTGCGCGCCGCTTGAGCTGCAAATTTCGTGGCGAACGAAATTTCCCAAGGCTGCAAGCCAAGCACGTAAAAATTAGGTAACGCTAGGTGCAAATTGCCTGGATGAGCCTGATTGCCTCCCCCTCTCCTCTCTCTCTCTCTCTGCTTTGAGTATCTTCGTTAGGAAGCTGTCACTAATTACACGGTGATTGGCTGTTGTTACTGGCAGGAGTCCTGGTTCTCCGGGGGCAGAGCTGTCCCAGGGCAAATTTTGGGGAGCGCATGGGAAAGGCTGAGCGAAGGGGCTCCCCCTGCCCCCCGTCTGCATCCACCGCCCCCCAAATTGGATGCGGCCCCGGGGCTGGACAGGGATTTTTATCCTTCCTGAGGCTGAACCGTGGTCCAATTCCCAGCTCGTTTTCCCGAGGACAACAAAAAGCGCAAAGACAACTGCTGCCCAGATTTTATATCCTGCTGTCACGGAGCCAATTAAGGAAAGGGTTGCCATATTTTTTATTTATTTATTTATTTATTTTTTTGCAGAAGGGTGGAACAGCGGAGCGGATTTTTTTAAGGCTTGCTCTTGGAAGCAGCTGAGCAATCCTGGCTGAAGTTTTCCTTGGGGGGGGGGAGAAGGAAAAAAATAATGCTTGGTATGGAAAATACCAGCCTGAGGAGCCTGTGCTTCCCCAGACTGTGAGCACTGGAAAGCAGGTCTGGAGAGGAAGGGCGGTTTGGTTTTGGTACCCATAGCCCAGGGACAGCACGGCGTGGATGTGCGAGAGCTGTCTTACACCGGGGATCAAGGGAAAAGCATGGGCAGAAGGAGCAGAGGGGACTCAGGGCTGTCCAAACACGGTCGGAGGAACACATCCTTGTGTTGCTAACAGAGCACCTGTGAGCTTCACGTGGGACTTGGGCTCGACCCCGAGGCTGTAAATGTGATGCCTCGTGAGAGGCGATGGGGGCACCTCTGCGTCAGGCGCTCCTGGATGCCGTTTGCTGATACCCCGCGTGTCCGCAGGGCTCGTGGCACCGGGACACGGGTTTGAGGGGCTGCCACGGGCTGGGACGGGCACGTGGGGACGTGTGACACGGTGACGTGAGCCGGCAGGACACTGCCAGCCCAGCCTTGTCACCCCATGGGAGAAACGCGTGGTGCCCGCCTTGTCCTCAGGGGCCGGCTGACCCTCGGGCACGCATGACGTGGGGCTGTTTGTAAACCGTGTTGACTTCCACGGGTCTTTAACATTTATTTCGGGAGTTAATTACTGTAAACAAAGCAGCTTTAAATCTAATCAGCTATTCCTTGTGCCACGTTGGTCCCGGACATCAAAGTGAACATCAAAGTGAGAGGCATGAAAGGCTCCGAAGGCAGCGCCGCCCGGCTCGCCCAGGTGCATCTCCCCAAGAGCTCCCCGCTCTGTGTCACACAGCCCTGGTTGTGGGGCTCCTTCCACTTATCGCAGATCTGAAGAATGTCGTCCTGTTGAGGAAAACAAGATTACCATAAGAATAGCCACCAGGAACAAAGCAAAGAGCTGTTTCAACTCGTTTTTGTTTGTTTGGATGGATTTTTGGGAGCTCATCGGTGAGGATGCTGTGCTCAGCCTGGAGTGTCCCAGCAAAACAAGGGACAAACCCCGACTCCAAGGTGTTTTGTAACATCCTGATGTGGGTGAGCACGCATTTGGGCAGGTCTTGCTAAGGTTGTGAGCTCTTGGAGCAGCCCGGGACGGGCAGAGTTGTTGGGGAGCAATGCAGCAGCACCTGGTGCAGCAAGGTGGGAGATGCCGTGGACCTTGGTGAGCTGTGGCGGGGCTGTAGCTTGAATTTGGGATCTTTGAGCTCTTAGAGGTGTGCAGAAGGAAGGAGAGCTCTGAAGAAGCCAGGGTGGCTGGGTTAAGGGAGGCTGAGAGCGTGCGTTTTCTCCTGGGTGGTTTCTTGCTGGCTTCTTGTTTTAATTGAAAATCAAAAGCTTGTGGCTGGAGAGACATCCCGACATCCCGCAGGCAATCTCCCTCAGAGGTGTCCCACTCGCCAGAGGCACCCTCGCCGCGAATTTTGGCCAGAAATCCCCTGGCTGGCCTGCCCTTTCCGTGCATCCTCGGCTGCAGTTTGCATTTTCCGCTGCGGAGCATCCCCCAGCACCCGCAGCGCCCGCTCCCCCCGCCGCTTCCCACCTAATTAAGCGCTGCCTCTCGTTTGCAGAAGACGTTTCCGGGCTGGTGTCAACCCGGAGCGCTCGCATGCTAATTTCGAGCAGCGAGCGGGCTCCTCCAGCGCGTTCCTGCACCGCGGGGAAGCAGCGGGGCCGGATAATTGATTGCAGTTTCACCAGAGGCACGGGCCGCTCGCCTCTAACGCGGAGCAGACCCGGAGGAAGCCCACCGCCGTGCCCCTCCTTGCTAATTAGTCTTCGCTACCGCGTGCGGCTGCGGCGGAGCTGGGGGGGGAAAGCGTGTGGTTTCTCCTGGTAGCTGTCAGGCTGTCGTTCCCTTCCACGTGCAAGCTTGCATTTCGGGGAGGGGTGCGCGGCGCGCTGCTGCGGGCTCGCTCCCTCCCGCGTGGAGAGGCAGCTGCGGGAGGGACTCGGTGCTTTGTGAAACCAGAGCTGCTCGTTGTCCTGGCTATTGGTGCTTGAAAGGAGCCCGTTTCAAGCCTTGAGCTCGTTTTCCCCAGCTGGAGCTGATTTGGGCATCCCTGGTTTGCAGTAGGGGACAGCTGAGGGCTGGGTGCGTACAGCCTGTAATTTGGCTGCTCTTCTTTCCTCTCTCCTAAAAAACAGGCGGCCAGGGGAAAGCTGGGAGCAGGACGGTGCGCTAGGCCTCCTGACCCGCTTTACTCAGAGTTTCCTGGACATGATTCACCTCTTCCCCTTCCCCAAAAAGAGCAGGGACGGTGCAGACACAGAGGGGTTGTTTGGAACCTTGGTTTTGCCCTCGCAGAGCCCTTAGATGTGGGAAACCAGCACGGCCTCCAGTTCCTCTCTTTGGCAACGCTTGCTAGAAGCAGCATGAAATCGTGTGGTTTCTCCCATGTTTTCTCTCGGCCTTGCTGTCCCAGTCGTCTTCCCAGGCTGGGGTGGGAGGTGGCAGAGAGGAGCTTGCTGCTGCCCCTCCATCCCCTCCCAGCACAGCTTTTGTCCTGAAGAGTTCCCAGATGCCACTTGGGGTCTGGACGTGGTGGTGGGACAGAGGAGCCCAGTCAGGCTGTAGGAGCCACATCAGGGTGCAAAGAGCCACGGGGTGCAAGGAGCTGGGTGTTTCCGACCTCCCCATGTGCCTGTTCCCAAAGGGAAGGAGCTGCCCGGCTTTGCTGCCCCAGCCCACGTAGCTGCTGTCTCACACCCTGCCTCTCTGCTCTCCTCCCCGCCAGGTCACCGACCGGCTTCCTGAGATTCTGACGCTGGATCGGGATCGTTTTAACTAAAGATGGAAACACTGGAGTCCGAATTGACCTGCCCAATCTGCCTGGAGTTATTCGAAGACCCTCTCCTGCTGCCCTGCGCCCACAGCCTCTGCTTCAGCTGCGCCCACCGCATCCTGGTGTCCAGCTGCTCCTCCAGCGAGTCCATCGAGCCCATCACCGCCTTCCAGTGCCCCACCTGCCGCTATGTCATCTCCCTCAACCACCGGGGCCTGGAGGGCCTCAAGAGGAATGTGACGCTGCAGAACATCATCGACCGCTTCCAGAAGGCGTCGCTGAGCGGCCCCAACTCCCCCAGCGAGAGCCGCCGCGAGAGGACGTACCGCAACAGCCCTACCATGTCCGTGGCCGGCGAGAGGATCGCCTGCCAGTTCTGCGAGCAGGACCCGCCGCGGGACGCCGTCAAGACGTGCATCACCTGCGAGGTGTCCTACTGCGACCGCTGCCTGCGGGCCACCCACCCCAACAAGAAGCCCTTCACCAGCCACCGCCTGGTGGAGCCCGTGCCCGACGCGCACTTCCGAGGACTCACCTGCCTGGAGCACGAGAACGAGAAGGTGAACATGTACTGTGTGGCTGACGACCAGCTCATCTGTGCCTTATGTAAACTGGTGGGCCGCCACCGGGACCACCAAGTGGCATCCCTCAGCGATCGCTTTGAGAAGCTCAAGGTAAGCACCAAGGGCGTCTCCGAGCCTGGGCGCACCAGGGAGCTTCGTGGCGGAGAACCGGTGCTGGCTGCACGTCTTTTAAGCCAAGCAGGGCTGGAGGATGGGGTCCATGCTGCTCATCCAGGCCCTTGGGCATTTCCTTGGGCTCCTTTCAGCGTGCTCAAGGTCCTGGGGACTGCAGTGCATGGGGAGCCTCCTGCTGTTCATGGGCATCCCCTGCCTGCAAACTGGTGCTGCAGGAAGCGCTGTGGGCACCGCCTGTGTCCTCCTTGGTACAGCTTCCCCAGTCCTCTGCACTGCTCTGGGATGCAGGGATGGAGCTTCCCTCTCCCCCCCATGCGCCCTAACCTCTTCCTCCATCCTGTGGGACCTCTGGATTTTGGCCGGTGCCACCTCCAGCAGGGTGTCCTGGCCGTGCCACTGTGGTTCTCCACGGTGGAGCCTCTGCTCCGCCACTGTCAGCATTTTCCGTCCTCGTATCCCTCAAGCTGAAGAAATGAGCAATTGTTTTCCAGCCCCCTTACCTCCAGCCTATGCCACGTATCGATCCAGAGTGAATTCTTGCTCTGCTGCTCCTCAGGTTGGAGAGAGCAAACTTCCAGGGAGCCCTCTGGGGTGCTTTGAAGCTTAATTTTTATGCAGTGGCTGTGCTCGCGCCGAATAACATGTGAACCCTTGTGGATGATGTTTGACCTATATAAAGTTAGAAATCCCTCTCTGTCCCCTGTGCATTCTGCATGAGTCTGCAAAATGGTTTTAATTCCTTTTTTTTTTTTTTAATAATAATAAAAAAAAACCACAGAGCTGGTCCAGTTAGAGGTCACGCTGGCTGAGGCTGTAACTGTGGCTGCAGTCACGTTCCCGTTGCAGCCTTCTCATGTCTTTCCACCTTCTTCCTTGGTCCTTTCTCCCTGAATTTTCTGGGCTTGTTCTGACCCAAAAGTGCTTTCCTTAGCTCTTTGTCTTGTTAATGCTTTTAGACAAAATCGATTTCTCTGCTCTTGTGTTTTCCGAGGGCAGGAGAAATAGTTCTATCACTAGCAAAAATTGAGAAGACTTCTCGTGTGCAGGCTGGATTGCTTTAAAAAGGAAAGAAAAAAGATTTCTCTCCAGGCATCAGCCTTCCTAGATGTCGAGCTTACCCCGAGCTGTTTCCCAGCTGTTTTTCCACCTGCCCTTTCCTCACAGCTCCCAAACCCAATGCGACTCCCCAGCAGTGCGGCACGGTGCTTGCTGCTGTGCCCGTCCTGTCCTCGTGCTGTGCCTCTCCGGAGCTTCCCCCACTCGAAATTCAGTGCCAGCAGAGCGCTCCTCGGGTCAGAACATTCTTTTTCCATGAGGAAACGTCTCAATTAGCGAGTTGGAAACCCTAGAAAGAAAGGCCCATGTATGTTTGCATGCAGTAAGACTTGGGGACAGGAATTAAACCCGTTTAATATTTCCCCCCCAAGTCAGCTAGCCAGGCAAGCTCATCTGAAGACAAAACCCCCAACAAGAAATTGCTTCTTCAACCAGCCAAGCTTTTGCAGGTTGCCAAAAAGCCAAGCTTTTGCAGGTTGCCAAGACGCTTTTTTTTTTTTTTTTCTTTTCTTTTTCATTTAAATAACAGCCTTAAGTGGTTTTGGACAAGGAGGGAAGCTCTCCTCTGCTGTGAGCACTCCTCCGGTGCTGCTCGTCCTGCTCAGCTCACCCTTTGGGCACGGCCATGGTGCTGGTGGGAGCAGCAGCTGCCTCGTTCCCTGACGTGGAGGAGCTGTTTTTTGGGCAAGATGCTTTGTTGTCCTCCTTCCCCCCTGCAGTCAGCCTCCCTCTTCCTCTTGCGTGCCCTTTAGTGGGTGGGGATTGCCCTAGGTGAGGACTGGTGGCCCACTGGGGATGGATGCGGGGTGTGAGCACCCCCCTGCTCCGGATGAGCACCCGGTGCAGGATGACTCCAGGATAACACTTCCCCAGCAGAAAGTTTCCCTCTTGGATGCAATGCTGTGAGGAGCCTGGTCTGTTTCTTGAGATGTGAGGCATCAAGCAAAGAAATGAATTTTTGAGATGCAAAGCTGCATCTCTGCCTGCTGAGCCGAGCTAAGAGGGATGAGCGCTTTGCTGCTTGTGAGAATGCAAAATTAGCTGCATAGCCCTGTCCGAGCTGCATCCTTGGCTGTGTTCTTAAATCTCTTAACATAATAAGCTGCAAAGCATGGAAAATCAAACCACATTGACCAGTGCTTCCACATGTCTTTAAAAGCACTGACACACTGGGGATGGTTAATTTTGTAACTAAATGATGCGCCGTGGAAACTTCTTTTGCCTCTTTTTGCGTCTGTTGCTATTTAATTTCTGCAGGGATCTGGTTTGCAAGGCACAACTACTACATGGTTATCAGTCCGGCGTGCCTGGCTTGGCAGAGCTGTGCTATTTTTTTGGATGCCTTTTCTCCTGATGCTGTACCCCTGGTGCAGGAGCAGCAGGAGATCAATAGCAAGCATGCCGGCAAGCTTGAAAATCAGAGTCAATATTTGCAGCTGTATTTTGGCCTCGTCTTTGTACATCCTCGGTCTATCCATTTGGCCATGGTTGAGTCCGTTGCTCTTTCTGGAAATATTGGGAATCCTTGCTGGCTGCTCTCTGCTCACCCGACCCTGACGCTTTGTCCCCTCCTTGCTCTCGTGAGCACTGAAGCCAGGCTGCTCTCGAGCATCCGTGGAGCGCTTGGGCATCGAACAGCAAGCGATTGCTCTTGTTTTCTGGCTTCGATCACATTGCTCGGGCTAGCTGGAAACACCTTTCCGATTAAAAAAATAAATAAGTGGGAAATTGGAGCAAATTATTCTGTCAAAAGGACTGCTTTCCACAAGAAAGCTTTGGTTGGGGATTTTTTTTTTCCTTGTTTAGAAGAGCTAACTGCCTGAAAACTGTACTTTTTTGTTGTTAAATCCTGAAGTGTTTCAGCTCTGAGCGCTATCTGGGAGAGCAGGGACCTGTGCTGCTGTCGGGGTTGTTGGTTGATGCGTATTCAGGAAGGGGTGGGATGCTGAAAGTAAAGATGCCCATCGCCTCGTCTCGCTGGCTGAAAAATCAGCGTTAAAAAATCAAATTAAAAACGGGTGTAGATTAAGCGCAAAGCAACCGGCTTGACCTAGATAAAGCAAACGCCTAGGACAGCAGCACGTTATCAGCTGAGTTAAAAAAATAAAAAGAAAGGAAAAAAAAGTTCTCCAATTATAAATTGAGATGCCTTGAAGCCCATAATTGCAGTCATCTCCGCGGAGCGCTGCCCTGTCCCGTGTGCTGGCTGCCACCCAGCCGGGGCCGGGAGCTGGGGTCACATCGGTGCAGCGAGAGAGGTCGCAGTGAAAAAAGATTTGGCTTGTGAGCTCCGGACAGCTCTGCGGCAGAAAGAGTTTCAGGAAAAGGATTTTGCCGTAAATGATTCGCTGCTTTGCTTCTCCATCTGATCTGTTCCCTTTGCGGGAACCGGCTGAGAGCTGTTGCTGAGGTTTGCGTTGACTGACACACTGGGAACAGCAAAAAAAAATTATTAAATATATATATATATATTTTGTAACACTTTCATATCTGCTCTCTGCTAAAGGAGGAGAAAAATCCTGTGTCCTGTGATGCTTCAGATATAGATGCACTGCCTCCAGTGGGTTAGTAGTCAGTGCGATGAAGGTTTAAAAAATAATAAACTAACAACCCCCTGTGCTAGACAAATTGTATGCAGAAAGCTGATGGTTATTGCAGGGCTCTTGGGAGAGCAGTAGGGTAGAAGGAACGAGGGGCAGAAAGCCTTCCTTGGCTGCTGCAGTGTAGGACTTCTTCGCCTGGGGACCAGGGAACGTGTTCCCACTTGCGCTGGGTGAGTCACCAAGATCGCTGCTTAATTTATAATTTACTGTACTGCCATGGGGCTAAACTGAATTTTATACATATATATAGAGTTGGCTTTTATTTTTTTTTTTTCATTTTCCCACATGTAGAAAGGAGCTGGCTGGGAGCGAGGGTTAACGTTGTGATTGTTGCGACTCCTACACAGAAGGTGGGGGGCTGCTAGCAGCAGACAAAGGGAAACCCAAACCCCTGGCTGTGTGGCAGCAATCAGCTCTTTCCCCCGAAGCAGATCTTATTTGGGTCTGCTTCTGCTCAAGACCTGCTTGGGGAAGGAGATGCCAAGCCTTGCTTCCTGGCTGGGGTGATGCGGGTGGATGAGGCTCCCGAGCAAATCATCATCATCCTCCCCATCCATCCATCCCAGGCTGCCAGCACAGTTTTGCTTGGATTCACCCAAAACACCCACTCGATGTGTGCTGCAGGCACACACTTACCTGTGGAGCGTGGATCATATGGAAATACGAAATTTTCCTGGCTCCTTTACACTGCGGTGGGAAAGGGATCAATACACGCTCCGGTGTCTGATGTAGCTCCCGATTTAAATTTTCCATCAGTGCAGAGAACGCAAGCGTTGGTCGCTGTTTTGTTACTGCTCCTTTGTTGGTTGCCAGGACCTTGAATCAGCCCCAAGTCCTGGGCTCCTCGGTTTTCTTTCCCAGCCATCAGCTTTTTGGGCAGAGCTTGGATTTTTTTAGTTAATTTAAGTAAGCAATTGCAGGTCCTGAGATAGCAGACCTGGAAAACTGCGTTGGTGAGATTAATCTCCTGCTTTTCCCAGGAAAAACCAGCAAACAAACCAAACATTGCTTTCAGAAAGTGGTTGGGTGCTTTTTTTTTTTTTTTTTTTTTTTTTTTTTTTTTTTTTTTGGCAGAAGCCGTTGCGCTGGTGAATTAGAAAGGAGAAATTTATGAGCGCGTTAAATTGTGGCCGCTCCGCTTTGTTAGGTATTAAATTCCCGCTTAACTTCCTGCCTCGTGGTGATCAACTCCTCGATGGCAATTAGTTCAGTGGGAATCGTTGGTGGGAAAGCACCGCTCGTGCCCCGTGCATGGGCTGGGGGGCACGGGACTGGCCGGATTTCCTGCCCTGGGGGGGGGGGAAAGGTTTGCGCTCG